GATACTGTGTTTTCTCGGTTTTTCAATTTTTCGATATTTTAATTTTTCAGTTTTTAAAGTTTTAGGTTTTTAGATTTCTCACTATCTCGACTTTTCGATTTTTCAGTTGCATGATTTTTCAATTTGTCCAATTTTTAAATTTTAGATTTTTTGTTCTCGATCATTCAATTCGAGTTTTCAGGCTTAGATTTTTTTGTTGTTCAATTCTTGGATTTTAAAAATTTTTGTTTTTTAAATTTTCCTATTTATCAACTTACTGGGATTTGAATGTTTTGATTTTTTGATTGTTCAATTTCTCGATTTTTTGAATTTTTAGTTTTTGATACGATTTTTTTTTCAAAAATTTTCAGTTTTTCAATTTATTAACTTTACGATATTTCAGTTTTACGATTTTTAAATTTTCAGTTTTCAATTTTTGACTTTTCTAAATTTTTCGATTTTTCAATTTTTCGATTAACTGATTTTTTGATTTTCCCATTTCTCTATTTCTCGATTTTTCAATTCTTTCTTCAGTTGTGATTTTTCAATTTTTCGATTTCTGGATTTTTCAGTGTTTCAGTTTTGGATTTTTTCACTTTTCCGATTCTTCAATTTTCTTTCCATTTTTCAGTTTTTCAAGATTTCAGTTTTGAATTTTTTCACTTTTTCGAGTTTTCAATTTTCCTTCCATTTTTCAGTATTTCAGTATTTCAATTCTGAGATTTTGCAATGTTTCGGTTCTGCAATTTTTCAAATTTTTGATATTGTGTTTTCTCGGTTTTTAAATTTTTCGATATTTTAATTTTTCAGTTTTTAAAGTTTTAGGTTTATAGATTTCTCACTATCTCGACTTTTCGATTTTTCAGTTCCATGATTTTTCAATTTGTCGAATTTTTAAATTTTAGATTTTTTGTTCTCGATCATTCAATTTTCTGAGTTTTCAGGCTTAGATTTTTTTTGTTGTTCAATTCTTGGATTTTTAAAATTTTTGTTTTTCACATTTTCCTATTTATCAACTTACTGGGATTTCAATGTTTTGATTTTTTGATTGTCCAATTTCTCGACTTTTTGAATTTTTAGTTTTTGATACGATTTTTTTTCAAAAATTTTTAGTTTTTCAATTTATTAACTTTACGAATTTCAGTTTTACGATTTTTAAATTTTTTTGTTTTTCAGTTTTCAAATTTTGACGTTTCTAAATTTTTCGATTTTTCAATTTTTCGATTAACTGATTTTTTGATTTTCCCATTTCTCTATTTCTCGATTTTTCAATTCTTTCTTCAGTTGTGATTTTTCAATTTTTCGGTTTCTGGATTTTTCAATGTTTCAGTTTTGGATTTTTTCACTTTTCCGATTCTTCAATTTTCTTTCCATTTTTCAGTTTTTCAAGATTTCAGTTTTGAATTTTTTCACTTTTTCGATTTTTCAATTTTCCTTCCATTTTTCAGTTTTTCAGTATTTCAATTCTGAGATTTTGCAATGTTTCGGTTCTTCAATTTTTCAAATTTTTGATATTGTCTTTTCTCGGTTTTTAAATTTTTCGATATTTTAATTTTTCAGTTTTTAAAGTTTTAGGTTTTTAGATTTCTCACTATCTCGACTTTCCGATTTTTCAGTTGCATGATTTTTCAATTTGTCGAATTTTTAAATTTTAAATTTTTTGTTCTAGATAATTCAATTTTCTGAGTTTTCAGGCTTAGATTTTTTTTGTTGTTCAATTCTTGGATTTTTAAAATTTTTGTTTTTTAAATTTTCCTATTTATCATCAACTTACTGGGATTTCAGTGTTTTGATTTTTTGATTGTTCAATTTGTCGATTTTTTGAATTTTTAGTTTTTGATACAATTTTTTTTCAAAAATTTTCAGTTTTTCAATTTATTAACTTTACGATATTTCAGTTTTACGATTTTTAAATTTCTTTGTTTTTCAGTTTTCAATTTTTGACGTTTCTAAATTTTTCGATTTTTCAATTTTTCGACTAACTGATTTTTTGATTTTCCCATTTCTCTATTTCTCGATTTTTCAATTCTTTCTTCAGTTGTGATTTTTTAATTTTTCGATTTCTGGATTTTTCAATGTTTCAGTTTTGGATTTTTTCACTTTTCCGATTCTTCAATTTTCTTTCCATTTTTTAGTTTTTCAAGTTTTCAGTTTTGAATTTTTTCACTTTTTCGATTTTTCAATTTTCCTTCCATTTTTCAGTTTTTCAGTATTTCAATTCTGAGATTTTGCAATGTTTCGGTTCTGCAATTTTTCAAATTTTTGATATTGTCTTTTCTCGGTTTTTAAATTTTTCGATATTTTATTTTTTCAGTTTTTAAAGTTTTAGGTTTTTAGATTTCTCACTATCTCGACTTTCCGATTTTTCAGTTGCATGATTTTTCAATTTGTCGAATTTTTAAATTTTAAATTTTTTGTTCTAGATAATTCAATTTTCTGAGTTTTCAGGCTTAGATTTTTTTTGTTGTTCAATTCTTGGATTTTTAAAATTTTTGTTTTTTAAATTTTCCTATTTATCATCAACTTACTGGGATTTCAATGTTTTGATTTTTTGATTGTTCAATTCCTCGATTTTTTTAATTTTCAGTTTTTGATACGATTTTTTTTTTCAAAAATTTTCAGATTTTCAATTTATTAACTTTACGATATTTCAGTTTTACGATTTTTAATTTTTTTCATTTTTCAGTTTTCAATTTTTGACGTTTCTAAATTTTTCGATTTTTCAATTTTTCGATTAACTGATTTTTTGATTTTCGCATTTCTCTATTTCTCGATTTTTCAATTCTTTCTTCCGTTGTGATTTTTCAATTTTTCGATTTCTGGATTTTTCAATGTTTCAGTTTTGGGTTTTTTCACTTTTCCGATTCTTCAATTTTCTTTCCATTTTTTAGTTTTTCAAGTTTTCAGTTTTGAATTTCTTCACTTTTTCGATTTTTCAATTTTCCTTCCATTTTTCAGTTTTTCAGTATTTCAATTCTGAGATTTTGCAATGTTTCGGTTCTTCAATTTTTCAAATTTTTGATATTGTGTTTTCTCGGTTTTTAAATTTTTCGATATTTTAATTTTTCAGTTTTTAAAGTTTTAGGTTTTTAGATTTCTCACTATCTCGACTTTTCGATTTTTTAGTTCCATGATTTTTCAATTTGTCGAATTTTTAAATTTTAGATTTTTTGTTCTCGATCATTCAATTTTCTGAGTTTTCAGGCTTAGATTTTTTTTGTTGTTCAATTCTTGGATTTTTAAAATTATTGGTTTTTAAATTTTCCTATTTATCAACTTACTGGGATTTGAATGTTTTGATTTTTTGATTGTTCAATTTCTCGATTTTTTGATACGATTTTTTTTTCAAAAATTTTCAGTTTTTCAATTTATTAACTTTACGATATTTCAGTTTTACGATTTTTAAATTTTTTTGTTTTTCAGTTTTCAATTTTTGACGTTTCTAAATTTTTCGATTTTTCAATTTTTCGATTAACTGATTTTTTGATTTTCCCATTTCTCTATTTCTCGATTTTTCAATTCTTTCTTCAGTTGTGATTTTTCAATTTTTCGATTTCTGGATTTTTCAATGTTTCAGTTTTGGGTTTTTTCACTTTTCCGATTCTTCAATTTTCTTTCCATTTTTTAGTTTTTCAAGTTTTCAGTTTTGAATTTTTTCACTTTTTCGATTTTTCAATTTTCCTTCCATTTTTCAGTTTTTCAGTATTTCAATTCTGAGATTTTGCAATGTTTCGGTTCTTCAATTTTTCAAATTTTTGATATTGTGTTTTCTCGGTTTTTAAATTTTTCGATATTTTAATTTTTCAGTTTTTAAAGTTTTAGGTTTTTATATTTCTCACTATCTCGACTTTTCGATTTTTCAGTTCCATGATTTTTCAATTTGTCGAATTTTTAAATTTTAGATTTTTTGTTCTCGATCATTTAATTTTCTGAGTTTTCAGGCTTAGATTTTTTTTGTTGTTCAATTCTTGGATTTTTAAAATTATTGCTTTTTAAATTTTCCTATTTATCAACTTACGGGGATTTGAATGTTTTGATTTTTTGATTGTTCAATTTCTCGATTTTTTGAATTTTTAGTTTTTGATACGATTTTTTTTTTCAAAAATTTTCAGTTTTTCAATTTATTAACTTTACGATATTTCAGTTTTACGATTTTTAAATTTCTTTGTTTTCAGTTTTCAATTTTTGACGTTTCTAAATTTTTCGATTTTTCAATTTTTCGATTAACTGATTTTTTGATTTTCCCATTTCTCTATTTCTCGATTTTTCAATTCTTTCTTCAGTTGTGATTTTTCAATTTTTCGATTTCTGGATTTTTCAATGTTTCAGTTTTGGATTTTTTCACTTTTTCGATTCTTTAATTTTCTTTCCGTTTTTCAGTTTTTCAAGATTTCAGTTTTGAATTTTTTCACTTTTTCGATTTTTCAATTTTCCTTCCATTTTTCAGTTTTTCAGTATTTCAGTTCTGAGATTTTGCAATATTTCGGTTCTTCAATTTTTCAAATTTTTGATGTTTCGATTTCTCGGTTTTTCAAGTTTTCGATAGGTATTTTAATTTTTCAATTTTTAAGTCCTAGATTTTCCGTTAGTTTTTTTGTTTTCCTTGATGTTTTGATTTCTCGATTATTCGATTTTTCAAGTTCTCGGTTTAGATTTTTTGGTTTTCCAATTCTTCGATTTTTAAATTGTTTAATTTTTAGATTGTTCAATTTCTCGATTTATAGTTTTTTCAATTTTTCGGTTTACCGATTTTTTTCATTTAAAATGTTTCAATTTTTCAGTTATTAAGTTTTCGATTTTTCAATTTTGGTGTAATTTGAAAACGGTATTAATAATACATTTAGGCGAATAATTCACACTTGTCTCTCGTCTAGCGCTCCCCCTTAATTCAGTCCTTCGAGCCGGATCGGGGCACAAAAATGCCTTCTCTCTTTTTCGCGAGTGAAACAAGCTCTCGTCTAATTAAATCCGTCGCCATTGTGCGTCGCCCCAATTTTAATCAGTCTAATTCCGTGTTTTAGAGCGTCGTAAAGGAAATGAACCGTCTGGGTATGATAGTGGACTTATCGCATGTTTCTGTGCGAACGATGTGGGACGCTTTGGAGGTCTCAAAAGCTCCGGTGATATTCAGCCATTCCTCGGCTCACGCACTTTGCAACTCGACCCGGAATGTTCCGGACGCCACTCTAAGGAAGCTCGCTCTGAACAAAGGCGTCGTCATGGTCAACTTCTACACGCAGTTTCTTACATGCAAGGACGTCGCAACGGTCGCCGATGCCGTGGGTAAGCCCCCCGGAAATTCCGGGCCGTGTCCTGACCCGGATCGATAATTATACACGATGATTTGTATCTATGTCTTAGCGCACATAAATCACATCCGGGAGGTGGCCGGTGTGGATAACGTGGGCCTGGGGGCCGGCTACGACGGGATTAACTAGTGAGTATAGTTGGAGGTTTTTCGTTCGCAGGTTGATACACAGTCGACAAATATCACGCACAATGCCATCAATTACGGGACAAAGTGCCCACTTAACCGGGATCGATTCATCACATTGTTCTCTGATAACGTGCGTTTTTAATTAAGTGTGAATGTAGGGCTCGATTGTGCGCGATCAGAGATTTAATCGTCAAGAACGGTTGGCAGCATTGTCGAAAAACTGGACGCAGGTTAGCCAACCTCGCTTCCTCTGCGGCTACATCGGTTCATTACCCCTCAATGGTCAACTGACTATGTAGAGCATCTAAAGCCATAAATTTGATCGATGGGATACATACTTTACGCCAGGAATATAACGAGGTAATGGATGAGGGAATTCACCACCATTTAGCGGTATGCCGTTGGTACTTCACAAACGAACTCCCCCGGATTCGATTCAACAACTAATTCCCCCACATTCTCCGTTTACCGAACAGATGGAGTCTAGAAAAAACTCCCGTTTCCTCCAGTAACGACTTGTCTGCGACGCGGCGCTCGAAATTGATAGGCATCCACGTGAAAAAAATTGGCGGATTGAATTTCCTGTTAGAGTTTTGGAAGATAAAAATGAGATACGATACAGCGATAACCTTTGTTGCGTCTTTCCAGGTTCTTTATTCGCCTCATTTGTCTGTAACGTGTCACTGAACAGAAATCTCGAGGCATACCTCCCCAATTTGGGGGCCGGTGGGCGTGGCGCGCTGCGTCCGCTAATCAGCGGCCGCCGTTTCCGTCACGTGACGCAATTAGTCCAATGAGTGGGTTTAGCTAAACGGTCTGCTAATTTCGCTTGCACCTTTGTAGAGTCCCGAAGTTTGGCACTTGCGAAGTTGGCTAATAGCTTTAAGCTAGGATCTTATCCAGAATGCACATTTGCAACTAGCGCTTACACTTGGCGGAGTCGTAACAACGTGCTAATATGAAAAATAAATTTGCAGTGTTCCCCAGGGACTGGAGGACGTCTCCTCGTATCCCACTCTGTTCGCCGAACTGATAGGCACCGGCAAATGGAGCGTCGAAGACCTGAAAAAACTGGCGGGATTGAATTTCCTGCGAGTGTTGCAGGATGTGGAGAAAATAAGGGATGAGTTCAAGAAGGCGAACATCCCGCCGTACGAGGACGTCCTGCAGCCGAAGCCGAAGAGCAACTGCAGCTCTCAGGATTGATTCATGCATTGTTGTTAGGGTCTGGACTAGTGAAATTTTTATTAATCTATAAATTTTAATAAATTAATAAAACCTGGTGCTAAAGATGATTAGGAGTCGATTTTATAAGTTACTGACTGGGTGTGAATAGTGGCCAATCAGAACTTTATCGAGGGATGTTTTTAGGAATAGTGTAACATAATGGGTAATTTTAAGGAGACCTCTGTGGAAAATATTTCGCTTCGAGATTAGTTTGTAGATGAAACGGAGCGACCCGGTGTCGGGGAGCTCCGACCTTTACATATAAGCTTAAGTTTGTGATACCTACGACCTTTTGTAAATTATTGTAAATTTCATATTTTGTGTACGTTATTCGTGACGGACTTTATTTGGAAACCTTATGTGTTCATAAATGTACTAATCCAATAAAACCAATGACTGATAGATTCCTAAATCTTACCATTATGAAACCATTAGATAGGTCTAATGAACACTCATTGAAACACTGCTATGCATGAAAGAAACGGAATTTACTACGTACATTTATGGATACTATTATTACATATAATGATATTCATAAATGTAAGCCACTGATTTTAGCAATAATTTCTATAAGTTTAATAGAAATTGTAGATTTGCGGACATTTCATTCAAACTAATACGAATGTGTCTCATTAATGCTTGTAATGGATATTCGTTGACTTCTTGGAGATTTTTATTACGTCTTGAGAAATTGTGAAATAAATAGGACCAATTTCTTACTGTTTATAACTGTTTTATGTGTATATAAGAACACTGCTATTATTAACCAACATATCATAGAAATAGGGCCGTTATTCTTATTACAGCAATATAAAGAGATAAGTGTTTATTTAAAACGCATTTATGTTCCCTGTGTTGTTTTGTGTACCAATACATTTTTATAACTGCTTTCAACCAATTCATTAATACCCCCTGTTCAAATTTCCCGCACTATCACAACTAAAATCACACCCCGGTAAAGCAACCCGCTAAAATACCGTCGTCGGAATTGTAGCCACACGAAACACATGGATCCGCTCAACCTCCGACGTCACTTTTTCCAAATGTCACGAAATGTCAATCGCGAGTTTTAACCGATAATCTTAAAACGGATTAAAAATGCATCGATATTGTGTAAAATTACGCTCGCTTTTATCGCAAAATATATCCCCGACTAGATATTATAGCGTGTCGTCGCTTGATAATCCAGTAATCGGTAAATTCCAACTTTGAGGTTATGTCATTCATAATAGTCCCCTTTCAGACAAAAATTACAGCATTAGAGATGAGGTTATCGTCGGACGACCTCTGTATATGGACGCACAAGCCACTACGCCCCTCGTAAGTCGGTGTTTTTTGTAGCCCCCTTGCTACTTTGCGTTGTAGGATCCGAGGGTGCTTGACGCCATGTTACCCTACTTGACCTCCTATTACGGCAACCCCCATTCGCGGACGCACGCTTACGGTTGGGAATCAGAGGCGGCTGTCGAAAAGTCGAGGGCGCAAGTGGCGAGCATCATCGGGGCTGACCCCAAAGAAATCATTTTCACGTCGGGGGCCACCGAGTGCAACAACATTGCAGTCAAAGGGGTCGCTAGGTTTTACTCGTCGAAAAAGAAGCACATCATAACGACACAAACAGTAATTAGACACTTTTGTATTGAAACAAAAATTCAAAATTATGTTTGAAGGAACACAAATGTGTTTTGGATTCTTGTCGCGCGCTCGAAGCTGAAGGTTTCAAGGTCACTTATTTACCGGTTGGTACCAATGGGATTATCTCGCTCGAAGATCTGGACAAAGCCATCACCCCTGAAACCTCCCTGGTTTCCATAATGGCGGTGAATAACGAAATCGGGGTCAAACAACCGGTGGCAGAAATCGGGCGGCTTTGTAAACAGAAGAAGGTTTTTTTTCACACGGATGCGGCCCAAGCTGTGGGAAAAGTCCCCATTGATGTTAACGCAATGAATATTGATTTGATGTCCATCAGTGGTCACAAAGTCTATGGACCTAAAGGTTTTTTAAATTTTTGCTTCAGTTGGTAACACTGATTGACACTTTGATAGGTGTGGGTGCTCTTTACGTCCGCCGCAGGCCTCGCGTGCGCGTTGAACCAATTCAGAGTGGTGGGGGTCAAGAGAGGGGGATCAGAAGTGGCACCGTCCCTACTCCCTTATCAGTAGGAATAGGCGAAGCCTGCGCTATAAGTCAGAGAGAGATGGAGTATGACCACGCCTGGATGGAAAAGTTGAGCAAGCGACTCATGGACCAGATTTTCGGGACGTTGAGTCACGTGATCAGGAATGGCGACCCCGTGCACTCGTACCCGGGGTGTATTAATCTATCGTTTGCGTTTGTTGAAGGTGAGACCAAGCGAATTTAGGGATTTTAGTTATTTTGGGTTTTAGGTGAGTCACTATTGATGGCCTTGAAGGACGTGGCGCTATCTAGTGGATCTGCGTGTACTTCGGCCTCTTTGGAGCCGTCGTATGTTTTAAGAGCCATCGGGGCTGATGAGGATCTGGCACATAGTAGTATAAGGTTCGGCTTTGGCCGCTTCACCACAATCGAGGAAGTGGATTATACGGCGCAAAAATGTATCCAACACGTGGCAAGACTGCGCGAGATGAGTCCTCTGTGGGAAATGATACAGGAAGGAGTTGACTTGAAGACCATCAAATGGTCACAGCACTAGTATATTTTTGGAAAATAGGCTTTAATGTAATTATCTCGTAACAATAAAATTATTTTATTTTATCACAACTTTATTATGTTATAAAACGTATTGGCAATCTTCGTAGAAATTTACGTTTCCGTATGTTGGGTCCTGTCTGACGTGAAAATTAACGACGTAGTTGGCGTTGGTTCGTTGCACTGATATGGCAAATGGGTCCGTTGGGTGAAACGTGAAAGCAACCAGTCTGCGCGCCGATGGGTACATCAGCCTGGTACCACCGGCGAAAATTTGAAATTTGAGGAGACCAGAGTCGCGGCCGTAGAATCTGTAACGAGTACGGACCTGTTCAAAATGGAAATGGTCAGGGTGGCCAACCGAACGAGTTGGTTTTGCAAATAATACGACAATAATTAATGTATTTGCCGTTAAGGGGACTCGCTAGACGAGGTATAACATTTTTCGGTTTTTTGTATCAAAAAATGATATTAATATAGATGTATGTATCACTCTGCAGCTTTTTTCATATTCTAGAGCGCAGAGACCAGTTCAATCGACTAAAAAAATATGGCTGAGAAATATCGTAAAAAAAGCACCATTGTATGTTTTCTTTTCAAGTTTTTTGAGTCATAACCATCATAGAATCGCTTGCAAATTCGCACATGGATAAAACATCACGTTTTACAGGGCGCAGAGTCATTAAATGTTTGTTAGTGGCATGGTAGAAGGAGACATGGTATAGGCATCCGATGTACCAATTTAAAAATGGTCTGCGCATCCATTTATGACGTTAGGTGGCATCAACGACCTTGTGACTCTTGTGAGCTTCGCTAGGGAAGTCTAGGGAATTTTAGCTTGAGTTGTCATTGGTGTGTCCAATACGTTAATTAGTTGTCGGATAACGAAAGTTTGTATTTTAAATTTCGCGCTAATTTCACCCCACTTGACGTCACACCCGATGCGTATGCCTATACCATGTCTCCTTCTACCATGTGTTAGTGGTACAATTTGTTTAAATAATAATGTGTTTATTAAAATCAAAATATACCACAAATTAATGCAAAATACGTCGAATAATTTTAACAGGAATAATAGAGGAAAATTAATGATCTATTGGCTGGCAGAGTTTTTAACAAAAACTAACAATTATTGAAAAAATTGGGTATCAATTCGACAGAATTTGAGCAGTTAGTTCAGTACTTTGCCGATAGGAGCGCCACTAAAATTTACGGAAGCGACTTTCCAGGTAAAACCCTTATCGCCTGCTCTACCATAAGCTGATTGTTAAAGTTCTCGACTGATTTTTCTAATTTATGGCAAGGAACTCAGTTTTATGACAAGCCGCCAGGACCGGCCGTAGTAATCTATTGTTAAGGAAATTAAATTTTACGCAATGAGGTACTATCATAAAACCGAATTAAAACTGGGGAACTATAATATTTTTACTCCAGTCAAGATCCTGAATTCAATACACATGATTACTAAAAATTCATTGTAATATTATTGTTAATATATATTTTGCTTTGTTAATTAATAAATCTAATAAACATATTTATAATAATAATAAAAAATATATAAAATACAGCTTTTGTTTAACACGTATAAGTAACTAAGTGTATCTACTACTTACTAAAGGAGGTGTTTTAAAAAAGCCCTACGCCCAGTAACTTCTCCCTTCATTGTTTACTCGAAAAAAGTGCTCGTATATGTTTTCATTTGCCGAGAGATTATTTTCAAAATATATTTATAATAAATATATGCAAGTCTTGGTGATAAAAAATGTACTCCTAATAAATTATTAAAGTACATAAAAAAATAGAAACAAATTTTATTTATTTTAAAAAAATCTCTCGCAAAGGCAGGTTCCTTTTTCTTCTTGAATCAATTATTTCGGGCAATATTGCGCCAAAGTAAAATCTGCCAAGTTTATCTGCCATCTTTTTACATATATTTCTTCGTCTTTATAATTTTTTTCTATATTTATTCCTTTGGGTGTCCATACAACAAAATAAACTTGTGAAATGCCCGTAACAAGCATTTGTCCCTGGACTTGAAAGTAGTAATCATGATTTTTTTTTAGTTTCAATTCTCTGTCTGTCAATGTACAAAATTTGATTATTTTTTTTCTAACCGCTTCTTCGGGAGACAAATCTTACGATTTTGAAGGGCATTTAATTTCGACTAATGTACTCCTATCCTCTAGAACCCTGTCTGGACTAGCAGCCAAGTAAGGAAATTGTTTTGGAATAAACAAGCCACACCGATCAGTTTTTAAATTTTTATTTATTTCAAAACACTTGACAGCTTTTTCCTCACTTTGCTGTCCATAGTATGTATGACTACTACCTCTAAATGTACTGTACAACAGAGACTCCACAGTTTTAGCTATTGCTGTAGTCGGTCTAAGTTTGTAAATACGTCCAAACTTTGAAGCCGTAACCCTAATTTCTCTTTCTTTTGCCCAAATGCTCCTGTTGCCTAGTGTCTATTTCAATTTGGTCTAAATTCAAAGATAATTTTCTCAAAAAAACCTCTTTGGCTATCACAAATATTTCTACATCCATGACAGGATTTTCTAAAAAATATTTAAACCATATCTTGGCTTTTTGTTTTAATATGTGTAAACTTCTTTTTGACAACATAAAACTTAAAACATGTTTAAAATGGAAAATTTGTATAAGGAAATATAGATTTTGCAATTAGACTCCGCCCAAAGATCCATATTTGTCTACAAGAATTTACCATTTTTAACTTGTTTTAAGTTTTTCGTTCTGAAAAGACGACTACGTATATTGAGAAAAAAGGCGAAAAATATGCCCCGCCCACCCACCCTATCTCGATTGTGGTGATTCTTTTTTCAATCGTCGAGAGCCAAAGGAGTAGAATTTAATTGCAAAATCCTTATTATTTCTATACAAGAAATTACCATGAAAGACATGTTTCTAGGAATAAAAAAAACATCACAATTGAGATGGGGTGGGTGGGAGGGGCTACATTTTGCCTTTTTTTTCTTAATATACATAATATTCTTTGAACAACATCATACTCAAAAACATGTTTTAATTTCGTGTAAAGAGATAAATATTTTGCAGTTAAGCTCCGGTTCACGGCGAATAAAAAAAATCATCACAATTGAGATAGGGTGTATAGACTTCTTACTACAACATGAAACTTAAAACATGTTTAAAATTTGTATAAGGAAATATCGATTTTACAATTAGCTTCGGCCCCATAATTGCAAAATCCATATTTTCTTGCAAAAAGTACCATTTTAACAATGTTCTAAGTTTCTTCTTGTGAAAAGATGACTATGTATATTAAGAATAAAAGAATGCAAAATATAAGCCCCGCCCACCCACCCTATCTCAATTGTGATGAATTTTTCATTCGTTGTCAGATAGAGGGGCGGGGCTGAAGTAAAAGATCCATATTTTCTTACAAGAATTTACCATTTTAAACGTGTTTTAAGTTTCTAAGAATAAAAAAATCATCACAATTGAGACGGGGTGGGTGGGCGGGGTTTATATTTTGCTTTTTTTAATACATACATAGTATTCTTTGAACAACACGGTAGTGAAAAATATATTTTTAATTTTTTGTATAGAAATAAATATTTTGCAGTTAAGCTTCGCCCCTTTAGTTCTCGGCGAATAAAAAAATCATCACAATTGAGATAGGGCGGGTGGGCGGGCTTATATTTTGTCTTTTTGTTTTAATATGTGTAGACTTCTTTGTCACAACATGAAACTTAAACGACATATTTTTTTTTTACGAATACTTTGTCTAAAACGAGCTTGTTTTATAGACGAACAATATTTTTTTGTTATTAAACCAGGACCGTTTTCATCAAAATATATGTACTTATCCCCTCTAAAAAATTGATGACGTCACCTCAAAATTTTGCTAAATAAATCCTATCTAAATTGTATAAAATATGATGAGTCTCTTCTTGTGATTTATCATTCCATTCATGTTTTTTGGATTTGCACATACCGGTTGACCCCAAAAATTAATAAATGCGTAAATTTATTTTATTGATTTAATCAGGAATTACAGAACCGAATGTTTTGAAATCTTGCAGATTTAAGGTTATAAAGAGCATAATACATTTTTAGTCAAAATATATTTGCTTATCCCCTCCAAAAAATTGATGACGTCAGCTCAAAAGTTTGCCGTATAATCCTATTTAACATTTACAAAATATGATGAGTCTCTTCTTGTAATTTATCATTCCATTCATATTTTTTGGATTCGGATATACAGGGTGACTCAAAAAATTTAATGAATGCGCAAATTTATTTTATTGATTTAATCAGGTACTACAAAACCGAATGCTTTGAAATCTAATGTGAAAAAAAAAACATAATAGGCATGCAGTCGTCACGTTTCCGATAGCGAGGGAAGTACAGTCTAAACTCTTTCGACCAATTTTTTTGATTTTCCCATTTTTCCATTTCTCAATTTTTCAATGTTTCAGTTTGGGATTTTTTCGCTGTTTCGATTCTTTAATTTTCCTTCCATTTTTAGGTTTTTCAATATTTCAGCTTTGGAATTTTGCAATATTTCGTTTCTTCAATTTTTCAAATTTTTACTTCCCGAGCGTAAGCAAAGGAAGTATTGTAATCGAGTCCGTCGGCCGACTCTCTACTTTTACGTTTTCTCGATCTTTCATGACCCCTAGAAGACGAAGAAATAGGTCTCCCATTTCCGTCTGTCTGTCCGTCTGTCCGTCCGTCTGTCCGTCTGTCCGTCTGTCCGTCTGTTGTCCCGGATTTTTATTAGACAGATAATCTCCGAAAGTACTCGACCGATTGTTGTGAAATTTTGTACTTATATTAAGAATATCATGTAGATGGTAAAACGCTAACTAAAATTTGTCTAATCATCCCCACCACTAATGCGATGACGTCACTTCAAAATTGTACATAGTAAATGGGTTTTCAATTGTATAAAATAACATAGTCCTACACATGTAGTTTACAACTCTGAATCGACTTTTCACCCGAAACGTCCAGATTTTTGGAAAAAAAATCAAAATTATAAAACAACATTTTGAAATTTATTTTTAATCTGCTAACCAGAATGCTTTGAAATGTTGCAGATGTTTTAAGGCTATAAAGAGCATCATAAATCTTTAGTCAAAAAATATTTGCTTATCCCCTCCAAAAACTTGATGACGTCAGCTCAAAAGTTTGTGGAATAAATCATATCTAAAATGTACAAAATATGATGAGTCTGTACTTGTGATCTATCACTCCATTCATATTTTTTGGATTTGCATATACAGGGTGACTCAAAAAAATTAATGAATGCGTAAATATATTTTAT